GAAAAAAGAAGGTCCTTATCCTTTAGAGATATTTACTGGTGTATTTATGGATGAATGATGTGATGTTTGCAACGTGCTTCAAACAGCCCAAAGGGGTAGGGGGAAAGTGTGGATAAGAGTATAAATGAAATGTCATCATATTAGAACGCAGTGTACTATGCCCTTTGCTTTTGTAGATGTTCTTAAACTCTCCATTAAGAGTGGTTTTTAATGTAGTTACTCAGAAAATTCATGCTGATTGATTTTTACTCACCAGGCCCCAATCACTCACTCCGGAACTGAGGCAGCCTCCCCTCATAGCAGATCTCCATGGCAGCTCACCTCCCACTGCTCCAGGAATGACCCCTAACCCTCACTACTTTTATCCCCTAGGAGAGGACTCACCAGGTACTGCTCCACAGACTCAGCTCCTTCCCTTGAGTGCATCTGACCTCCTGAGCCTTTCAGGCAGACTGATCCCCATGTCCTTTCCCCTCCCAGTTAGCCCATCTGGACCCCAGGAGATCCTGAGAGAACCTTCCCTTTCCTACATCCACCACTCTTACACCTGCCCTGTGATTCCTGATATCCTAATATCCTGTCCCTTTTTCCTAGTGTCTTTCTGGAATGATCATCAAGGAGGTGAGGAACTTCCTTCCTGATCTGGAAATACTTAGCAAAACTGGACAGGAAATTCCAACAATTCCTCTCTTCATTACCTCAAAAATAATTTAGTTGCTTAACTTTCAAAAAGCTCACCTGCTGTAAGAGCCATTATAGTAAGTGCTGCTGCGCTCTTAACATGCACCGGACCTGTTCTAAGTGTTTTACATGAATTAACTTAATCTTCCTAACAATGCTACAGGGTAGGAACTACTATCGCCACCACCACCCCCATTTTACAGGTGAAAAAACTGAGGCAGAGAACTAAGTAATTTGTTTCAGGGTCACTGCCAGGTAGTGGAAGAGCTGGGGTTTGAACACAAGCGTGCTTTGTCAGAGCCCGCGCTCCTGACCACTCTGCCTGTGACAGCACCAGTGCTGAGGGCAGAAACCACGATGAGAAGATAAAAGGCGTGGGACAGGCCTCGCACATGGGGTGGCGCGGGGGCTTCAGATGTATGCGTCACTTGTAATGTATGCATTTATGTTTCATTCCATCGCATGCTGTTTACTTCCCTGTAATGTTTTCTGTCTTATAGGACAGGGATTTTTGCTGTCTGACCTCTTGTAGACCTAGCAGTGTGTCCTATGCACATGAATACAGGTGGTAGAGACCACAGATCGTTAATACACTCATGAACTATTGATGTATTATTTTTAGTTTCTCCTATATATATATATATATATATATATATATATATAGTGTCCTATATATACTATAAATGCAAAGTAATGGTAATAGCTCGCATTTATGTGGCACTTACTGTATTCTTGCTCTTCTGGCAAGCACTCTACAATATCCTGTGGAAACCTCATGATATGCATTTTAGATAGATGCATATATTGTCCCCTCCTACACATCTGAAAACGACAGCTTGAGGAGGTATGGTAACACGTTCCACATCACACATCTAGAATGGGTTGGAGCCAGAATCTAAACCTGGCCCCAGACCCCTGGGTTTCAAACACAGGGATAGGAGAAACAAATTCTGGTATAAGGTTTGCGCGTGGGACTCAGGGAGCTGAGTGGCTAATGCTGCCCAAAGAAACCGAGGAAAGTGTTGTAAAGTGGTTACATTTGAGTTAGGTGACAATGGAATGATTGGAAGTTTCTGGGCAAAAAATAAGAACGGAGGAGAGCATCCTAGGGAGAAGGAGAGCGAGTACAAAGGCACAGATTATAAAGGACCAGGCATCTCCAGAGAAGAGAGGAAATCTGAATTTGGCAGGAACATTTAACCTCAGGGAGAATGGCTGAAGATGATGCTAGAGAGTGTCTGCAACAAGCTTGTGAAAGATTTCTATGCCTGGAGAAAAAACTTGGGCTTTATTTATAAGCAATGGGAACTCAAGGAGAGCTTTCAGGCAGGGAATGGCAGGCTATCTAAACTGAAAAGCTGTTTCTCGGGGCATCGGGAGAATGGACCTCAATGTGCTAAGGAGTGTGGGTGGGGTAGACTGAAGAGCCAGCCCCACCGTGGTGGTGAATAGTAATGTCGCAGACAGTGTCCTCCTCCAGGAGGAGCCTGTCCACAGCTGCCACCTGCCTGCAGTGTCTTCCTGCAAAGTAGAAAGAGGCTCCCCTACCACCCGATGGCTTAGTCCCAAGCCCAGGCACACGCTGAACTTGGCAAGCAGGGCACAGGCTCAGTCTTAGCCTCCACGGGTCCACTTGGTTGGGGGGCCTGCACTCCTTAGGCGTTACCTGAACTGGAGCTTCTCCTAAGCACATGCATGAGAAGATGGGGTACAAGGGCCAAAGGTAGGGTGTGTGCATGTCACGGCCCCCCTTTAGCAAAGGAAAACCACTGAGTGTGACCCCTAAAGGCAGGCACTTGGATAGACCGACAGACGTGGTTTCATGGCCCTGAGAAAGTTATGTAATTTCTCTAAGCTTCGGTTTCCTCAACTTGTTAAATGGAAGTACCTACCTCAATGGGTTATTGTGAGGATTAAAAGAGCTAAGAATGCACATAAGAACAGGATGTGAGGGCGATCTGGCCACGACATCTGTCACCCCATTGATCACCAGGGTTGATTCGGCTGATCTGGCTGACTAGGCAGGGGTCCCCTTCCTCCCTCACCGCTCCACGTGTGTCCCTCCGGAAGCGCGCTCGGTCGAAGAGGACGACCTTCCCCGATAGAGGAGGACTGTTCTTCAGTCAAGGGCATGCGAGTAGCTGCGCTCCCCTGCTAGAACCTCCAAACAAGCTCTCAAGAATGCACACAAAGGTCTTAGCGCAGTAAGCACATAGTTCACACTGACTACACGTTAGCTGTTAGTGTATCTACCACACCAACAATGAGCGAGAGCCCGTCCAGGCCTGGGAAGGGGTATTGGCTGTACATGCACTTGAGTTGGCTGTCCCCTGCCCCTCATCCCTTGCTACCCCAGACCTCAGTGAGAGGAAGACGGCAACCAGAGACAGATAGCAGTGACAGGGACTGGCTACACCACAGCACTCCTGAGGTGGGCTCTGTCTGCTTACCTCATCCTAACAGACACGTGGTCATGGGGCAGGGCCACGGGAGGAAGCCCCAAGAACAGGATTCAGAGGGGGAAACAGGCCTTCTATCCTCCTCCATCCAGCTCCATTTCTTTCCATATACACCCCCTGTCCTCAGTCTGCTCTTCCTTTCCTAATCTGTGCCACCACCCGTACTCTCTGCCACTGGCCCTCCCATTATCCTCCCCGCCCCCTGCCCGGGGAGGGGTTTTTTGCTCAAGACTTTTGCCCCTTTTCTCTGGATGTCTCTGGACAGTGGCAGAAGTGAAGCAGTCATCTGGGCATAGAAATACCCAGCACAGGTGGCCTCGTCAGCTGGGCCAGGTGGGGCTCAGTTTTCTGGGGAGTGGCAATGCACTGGCCAGCTGTTGGGCAGCTGGGACAGAGGGCAGAAGGTGAGAGAAACATTGGGAGGAACTGTGGTCCCCAGCGTGTCTAGGGAGGGAGCGAGCTGGGGGTGAAGGACAAGGCCCCTGGCAGTGGGGAGTGGTGAGAGCTCGGCTTGGGCTGTTTTGGGTGGCTTGCGCACAAGACACGTTAACAAGATGTGAGAAGACGGCCCTCCAAGTAGCAGTGATCTTGGAAGCGGCTGGTTAGGTGGATCCAGGTGTCTGCCGCTTCTGAGAGGCCGGCCCTAACAGCAGTCACAGGGCAGCAATGCCCTCAGCTGCCGTTCTCAATTTACCCTGCTGTATTTTTCTTCACGGCAAAACTTGAAATTAAATATTGTTTACTTGTTGTCTTTTCTCCAGTAGACTTGGTCCCATCTGTTGCTCTTTTCGTGGCATCTAGAACAATGCTCAGCACACAGTAGGTCCTCAACAAATATTTGTTGAATGTAAGATTTGAATGATTGCCGTCATTCTACAGACAAGAATTATTACTCCCTTACCTGTGGCTGAATACATGTCGCTGAGTCCCTGCTACATGCCAGGGATGAGTCAGTTACCTTCTGGTGTAGCAGAGCACGACAGTGCTCCCTTTCTCTTTGGAGGGTGCTGAGCTGCCTTGGATCTGAAATTGCACAATCCTCTCCTGGCCTCACAGGGGCCGTGTGCCTGGGAAAGGATGTTGCCCTTTGCCCTTGGTTCATGTCCGCCTTACTTAACACCAGAGGTGAGGGCCGTGGTCTGGGAAGTGAGTAAAAAGATCCCCCCCCCCCCCAGCTGTCAATGGGAAGTCTGTGTAGGTCAGTTGGAAATCGAGCTCATAAACCAGGAAAAGGGGGCTGTCAGAAGGTTCTGGAGGTCAGAAGTTGACTCCATTTCTTGGCATGGGAGCAGAGCCGATTTTTTTGTCATACAAGAGAGAAGTGCCATGAGGACTGAAACTGTTCCTAGAGGGGGGGAGACCTCAATTCAAACACTCAGTCCAAAGACAGCATGTCTGGAGGCTGGAGGAACCAGCCCCTGCTGCAGTGGCCAGGACTTGGTCCAGGTACAAAGCCAAAGCAGGTTCCATTCTTTTTCATGCCCTACAAAGTGTGTTCTTACTATGCACCTCCATGTGAAGAAGAGAATGAAGTCTCACTTACTAGGTATCTGTGAACTTGACTATAAGATACCTGGGTGAAAGGTGAAAAATGCTCAGAATCCCAGATATTTCACAGACATAAAATGAAGCATCCACATAATTATAATTTTTACTTGGCAACCAGAGATTTGGTGTGATATAAGACTCATGGTTCATAATATTCAATACGTGTGTGTGTATGTTGTACATGTGTAGAGTTAAAGTTATTCACGTGTTCTGCTTATACACGGACTATTTCAAATTTTTATAGCTTTTGTAGATGACATTCTTCACATCCCAAGGTTGGTCCAGGACTTAGTTTTTTTTTCTTGTTTGCAGGTGTCATGTCTGGATTAGATGTTCGAGTGCTACAATGTACACCTTGTTCTTAACAAGTGCCACGAGGACTCAGTGTCATCATCTTGGGGTCTTCTTACTGCCAGTAAGTAGCCGTGTGATTTAGTGTAGGGCACGTAAACTCCCTGTGCCTCAGTTTCCTAAATCAAATTTGAAGAGGTTGAGTTAATTACTAAGACTCCTTTTAGAGCCAAAAAACCCATGATTAATATTTTTCTGTAAGCATTATAATTTATTCCTCATTGGGAGGAACATGCTCTGTGTCACCATCACATGTAGGATATCTATAGATGATCAGTATCCAAGTTTAGGAAAAGTATCAAATACCTCAGTACATAAATTTGTTAATATTTGGGTTGTTGGGGTTTTTTTTGTGTGTATATTTTTTAATTAGTTCCTTTCTGAGGATTGTGTCCATTAAGATACTTCATGCTCAGCCAGTATGTTTATTATTTTTCAATAGTATGCTTTAAATAAAGGAGAGAACTTTATTTGATACCTTTATTTATATGCAAAACAGCGCACCATTCATGAGATATGAAAAACTCGTCAGATAGAAACCAGGTTATATCTATTTTCACTACAAAATATTGCATTATATAAAGCAACAGAGACACAAAAAAACCCTGAAAAAGACTAAAATCTTTGGATAGCAGATGTGTGTTTTTTTTTTTCCCTTGTCTCTAAAATACACTCCTTGTTTTAAGAGTTTCACAGCTGAGAACATGAAACATTTTCAGGTTATAGACTTTTCTTTTTGGTTGTCACAGAGGAAAGTAGTTTTGAAATCTTTTTTTTTTTTTTTTAGGAAAATAACTTAATTTCCTAAAATCATCCCACGCACAAACAGCACACACACACACACACACACACACACACACACACACACACAAAGAAGCTACTGTCCTTATAAACAGTTTGTAAAGTACTTTTCAGACATAACTACACATAAGAATAACAACACTTACTTTTTTTTAAAAAACTATAATAGTGAAGTGCTAATGTTGCTGATCTCACAACAAAAGAACCTTTTCAAGAACAAACATCTTAATATATAAAATATGTTTAGAAACAGGGAGAAGTGGGAAATTTGTTATACAAGTGCAATATAATTAGAGCAAAAAAAGAAAGACCACAGTATAATCTCAACAGACACATAAAAAGTTAGACATAATTATTCCACAGGAAAAATTGTAAACACTTGACTATAAATAAATTGGCACAGAGTATCCAAAGTAAAATTATCACCACTCTGAAAAATAAATGTCTTGAAAAAAATACTCTACTCCTTCTAACATAAATAAAAATAGGTTGTCTTTTGCTAACTGTACCTATGGGTCCACATGTTTAAGGTCACAAATAGATGTTTTTGGATATATAAAGGGGCACTTTGCCTGAAAAAGCAATCAGATATTAAAATTTCCATTTAAATATGGATTCTCCTGTCTACATCAGTGTCCTACCTTGGGGTTAAAATCTCACCAAGATCAAATCTTCCCACAGTGTGTCTGTTCTTTATCTTTTAAGCTTACCAATATTTAGGGTTTGTCTATTTTATTTGGATCCTAATATAATCTTCCCTTCCACAGCAGAATGGAAACTTTCCTGTTCCACCGTTCTGTGCCTTAAATCTCTACACTGGAGGAGAGTCCCTCCCACCCCCTCCAAATGTTAGGTGATTTGTCAATTAGAAAAATCCCAGATAGTCTAAAGTTAGGAGGCTTTACTCTGAGCTTCTGAGCTCCTGCCCTCATTCTTTCAAAACGTGAAGATCTGTGGGAGATAAATGGAGAACTCAAAGCCTCCAGTGAACTAAAGCAACCACCCTTAAAGGGATCCTAACACACGGAGGGGAGGTTTGGAGGCTGTGCGTTGCGGGTGCCTCGGGGAGGCTCGCCTGGAATAATGCCCCCTGCAAACCCGGGGGCTCGCCAGACAACCCCACCTTCCCGAGTTGGAAACCTTCCCTCGACTCCCCGCTGACCGGAGAGAGCTCGAACGCGTGGCAAGCTTCCTCCCGCGTCCAGGCCTCTCGCAGCGGCTGTCCGGCTGGGCGGCCCTCTCGTCCACCAGCCCTGCGGCTGCCCCCCCGGGGCCGGTGGCGCTCCCCCGGCTTCCGGACAGGCGGCCTCCCGCCGCGCCCGCGGCCCTACACGTCCAGGACGTGGTTGAGATAGGAGATGTAGCAGATGGCCAGGCGCAGGATCTCGATCTTGGAGAGCTTCTTGTCCGGGGGCAGCGTGGGCAGCAGTTTGCGGAGCTCGGCGAAGGCCAAGTTGAAGGCCTCCACGCGGATGCGCTCGCGGGTGGCGTGGGCCGAGCGGTACTTGGCGGTGGCGCGCCGGCGGCGGCGCTTCTCCTCGCGGCTCAGCTGCTGCGGGTGCGGGTAGAGCGCGGCCCGGCTGCCGCCCTTGCCGTCGCCCTCGGCCTCCTCCACCGGCTCCAGGTCCGACACGCTGCCCAGCACCTTGGCCTCCGCGCCGCCCAACGACTCCGGGTCCGAGTGCGCCGAGCTGGGGTGGTCCGAGTCGGCGGCTTGGTCCGGACTCAGCATCATTTTGGAAGCTGAGGGGGAGTCAGAACATCAATCAATAAAAGGAAGGGTCTTCCTTGGATCCGAGGGAGAGCGGGCGAGGGCCTACCGGGCCGGCCCTCGGCGCGTCCCGGGTCTCCTCCCCACCCCAGGCGGGCGCGCTCGGCGGAGCTGGCCCCGCGGGCAGGCAGCGCGCGGAGGGGCAGACCCGAGGGCCCGAGCCGCGCGTCTCCCCGCGCGGGGGCCAGCGAGGTCCCGGCTGGGCCCCGGCCGCATCCCGGACCCGACTCCTCGGCCTGCGGGAGGCCGAGACCGGCCTGTGGTCCCGGCCCGGCCCGGCGGGGAAGCGGCAGGCCCAGGAGGCTGCGCGCGCGTCCGGTGCCTACTTCTGCCAAAATACCGATCCGTCAGGCCGCCTGCCTTCCTTCCCCTTCCCTGACAAACGAACGATGCCGAACGGCGAGCACTTATGGGGTGTACGCGGGGCGGGGGGACGCCGTGGGCGCCCCGGCCCCGAGGGCCTTGGACCAGGCAGCCGGAGGCCGCGGCGCCCGCGGGCCTCGCACCAGTCTGGGGCGTGCGGGACGGCCGCGGCCGTGGAGGGCGCCCCGCGCTGGAGGGGAGCCCCGGTCACTAGTGTGGACGGAGGGCAGGCGGCCCGGAGCGGGCAGCTTCTCCGTCCCCCTCGCGCTTCCCCGGAAAAACAAAGCAATGACTGAACAAACGCGAAGGCTCCTTTCTCCGGAAAATTGACCCTTTTGCCCTCGCGGCCCCCCGAAGCACCATCTGTCACGCAGACAGCCACACACATCGGGGACCTAGGGACGCGGCGACGTGGCATGAGACAATGCGCCCAGCAGCCGACCGACCACCTCACGGGGAAAATGCCGCCGGCGGGGTAGTGGCGGGAGGGGAGGCTGGGAGGGAAAGGGAGACCCGGGGCGGGAGGACGCGACCCGAGCTTCCTCTCCAAGGGCCAAGCCCGGTGCTGGGGGGGGAGGGGTCGGAATCGAGAGCCCCGCAGCGGCGGCCTGGCCCAGGCGGAGCGGGGCTGTGCTCAGCTCTCCTGGAACGACGCTTTCCCGGGAAGGCCGCCCCGCCGGGCTCCTGTCGGGGCCTCGAGCTCCGACACCGACCGCGCGCCTCCTGGGAGGGGGCTGCCCACAACCCCCGGGGCTCGGGTGGTCGGCGGCGGGGGTGGGGGGGGGGTGGTCCGGCCTCCAAGAAAGGGGCCGGCACCTGCGGGGCAGCGCGCACCGACCGCCGGCGCCAGTGGGAGAGCACCAGGCCGCGGGCCCCGCGCGTGCAGCCCGAGAGACGCTCGCCGCGGGAGAAATCCGTGGCGGCGAGGAGTCGGAGGGCTCGCTTCTAGAGAAACAAAAGCCAGGGAGGTGAGATCCTCTCCTCGCGCCGCGCTCGCCCAGGAGCGAATGTGTCTCCAAGCTGGCTCGTACTGCGCTGCGAGGAAAGCGGGTCCTCGAAGGCAAAATAAAAACAAATGCTCCAAGTGAGCTACCTGTGACTCCCTACGGGCTTCTCTCGGGTACGTTTATAAAGGAGAACAACTTGCACCTGTACATTCGGCTTGAAAGGGCATAAATAAATTGGCGAGTGGTGGAAAATCACAGTAAGCATCGACATAGTTGTAGTGCGGCTAAAAAGTTCCCGGGTTGCCTTCAAAGCATGCTAAATTCTCCTCCAGATATCTTTTTAAAATAGTCACAAATAGCATGTCGTGCATACATCCATTTCACAATTAGCTGAAGTACATCTATGAAGACGGTATGAATAATCTAACTTAGTTCCAAGGTGGGAAAAAAAATTACTTAAAGGAGCCTTACCTTGTAAAAGCCTTCTCGATAATCTTTTCTCCAATCTTTTAGAGTTACAAATCCCAAAGAATAGAGGGGAGAAATTCCGAAGTATATATTAAAAGCAGCAAATATTTCTTACATTCGAGTGTGAAAAAGCAGCTGTCATCTCGCTGGTGTCCACAGCGAGGGACGATAGTGTCTCAGGATGTGGACGATGTAAATGATTGTTCACTTAGTTGATAGACCAAAAATGCCTTCTCCTTTTAATTGTTCTCAAACATTTCGGGAAATTCGTTGTTGATTTTTTTTTTTTTAAATGAGGTGTTGAAAAGTCTCGTGCCTTTTTTCCTCTTCTGGGTCTCTATAAATAACAAAAGAGATGCAGAGATAAACACAATCACATCAAAGGGCTGATTCCTCCACTTTCTAATAGTGGAAGAATCAATAAGAAAGATGGTTACATTAGATAAGATCCTGCTCCTGTAGGACTCCTTTCCTTCCCTTAATACCGTGGAGAAGAAACTGGGAAGAGCAAGAGCAAGGCAGAGATGCGATCTTCCTCAGAAGTGATTTTTTTTTTTTTTTTTTTTTTTTGAGATAAGGCTTTGTTCAGCTGATGTCTCCCCAGTTCCCAGGAACACAATACTGTAACTCGGGGCTAAGCTTGCCTCTTCCTCTCTCCTCATTTACTTGTAGATTGTATAAACAGGCACCTATTTGCAGTTTCAAAGTCTTCCAAGGCTTGCTAACACCTCCCACCCCCACCCCCTCCTTTCTTTACCTTATAGCAAAATACATATAGTCTGGCTTGGAGACGCTTGGAGAAAGGTTCGTGGAAAGTGGATGTCTCCCGGAGTAACAGTGACAGGGACGCGGAGAAAGACGGGAGAGGGTGGGAGAGCCAGAGCAAAGAGGCAGAGATGCGTGTGTGGCTTCTTGGCTCTCCTGGTACCAATTGATTCAGCCTGGAGATGGTGGAAGAGATAAAGGCTTAAGAAGGGGGATGGAATTTTTTTCCCCTAAATTGATATTTAATGGGAAATCCTATTGGACAGAAACCTGGACATGAGTCACTTAATTGGACTTGACATCTGTCACAGTGTGGGAGTTTTCACAGCCCAAATATTTTAGCAGATCAGATTCCCACTGAATCTGTGCCATAAAATATAACAGTTGAAAGCAGTCCATGATAGAAACCTTAGCCTCTAAACAGAGTCTCTAGCCATTATCAGACTATTTCTCTTTTTCCGATTATTGATGCAGTCTTTAAGTGCAAATAAGCAACATATTGACTGTGGAAAATTTCTCCTCTCATATTAGAAAACCGGCATCTTCCCCTAATGTTTGGGAAAGTATTTGTGTCCAGAACATGAAAATATATACTATATATGGTACTATAATAAATATATTCACGTATGTAATGGCCAACATTTATTAGTGATCATCAGAAGATATTTGATCAAGACTTGATGAAGCATATTCATGTTTTTGAAATATATCCTGCCACTGGACTAATTTTCCAATATGTGGTTTAAAAAAAAAAAAAAAACCCTTTCAATAGATTAAGTCATTGGTGGAACTGGGAACAGAATCCAGGCATTGTAATTTCAGAGAGCACTCTAGGAGACCATCCTACTTTCCTAAACATGTTTGTTTTTCTCTTTACCCATTCGTTCATTCAAGTTAAAGTCTGGCATATTACATGTGTTGATTATTGCACTTCATTTTTGCTTATTTTACCATGTGAATATTTAGCGTAGGGGCAGTGCATTGGGCCAGGATGTAAACACACACAAATCACCAGTGTATTGCAGCACATTATGCCTTTGCTATACCCAACCCCGTGGCCCTGAATTTATATGCCTTATAACAAAAGGGAAAATCTAGTTCAATTACTTGGCCACTTTATAAAGACACTGTTAGTCTCCATCAACTAAGTATTATTTGCAATCATTTTGGCTTTTTTGATTGTGTAAGCTTAAAAGAAATAAAGAAATACTGTAGCCTTATTCTCCATGTCAATAATTCCCTGGGGGAACATTTGTGAAGAGAGGACTCCTCATTTTTCCTTCTTTTTCAATTTTGCTCTAAAAACAGGTTTTATCATCAGGGGAGAGGATTGATCAGCCTACCCCTGGGAGTGACCCTCATGGCTGCCACCAGTCCTGTTTGCCTTTGCACACATATTTCAGCCTATGGGAGATGCCTGGACCGGAATGGGGTGGGGGTGGGGAGAGTAGGAAGTGTCTCCAAGGAAAATGGGCACCAACACTTCCCAGCTTTGCCTCTGCCCAGCCCCAGCACAGAAGCATGTTTTAGATATCCCCAGGACGTTTCAGCAGAGGCAGAAGCCAGCTGCATTTAGGTGGCAGTGGAAAGAGGTGAGTGGAGGAACTCCCCAAGGTGTAAAGATGAAGGGAAAAGGGAGGTTTCCCCACTCTGGCCAAGCATCCACACATAGCCAGACCTGTGCACCCAGATGCGCACCCACAGATACCTGTAGTCTCACCCCCCACTACTCATGTAATCTGGCTGGCTCTGTTAGACTGCTACACATTCAGACTGACAAAGTGAAAAACCTGGTGAATCTAATCACCATAGCTCATGAGACCATTGCTGCCGTGGGAAGCCACTGGTATCTCTAGTTACCCTGGTGTTGGAGGAAGGAAGGAAGTGGGGGGAACATACCAGGGCAGGTCAGATCCTGCCAACGTGTGTGTGGATCCAGATACGTTCTTTTTTACATTCAGGCTTACCGATTCCATACTGACAGCCTGCGTGTACATAAAGCCCTTGTAAACAGGTACACGCTTAGACTCATACATAGCCATGGCTGGATGCACAGTTATGGTCACAAACATGAATTCACGCTCACATACGTGTGCATTCTCTCTTCCAGGAAAGCCTCCCCCTCTCCTACTGCCACCTTTGCCTTTTCTAAGACCTCCCTAGCACAGATGGTCCCTCCTGTGCTTCATAAGCACTTTTTTTCCTATCCCCCTTAGAGATTACATATCGTACACGGTGATTCTCGGTTTCCATACCTGTGTTTCCCACTAGGCTGTGACGCTCCTAGGGCAGGTCTGTAGCTCATGGCCCCAGCACGGATGTCTGAGTTTGACGCATTGTAAGTACTCAGTACTATGGTGAATGACTCTCTATGTACAGAGGCAGCTGGAGTATTTGTAACACAGAAACATTTCCATCAAAAGACCCTTAGTTTCATCTGTATTGGTTTCCTCCCCTATAAAAGTGAGGATAATAATCCTACCCTCCTCACTTCACAGGCTGGTTATGAGACTCACTGCATGTGAAAGTATCTTCTAAAATACCAAGCATCATACAAATGATGATACTATGGAGTATTAAGAGTAATATTACCTAATATTAAATCAGTAGGGAGGTGGCAAGCAGTGATTTAAAAAGCCAGACTTCCTGGCTCTATCATAGGCTAGCCATGTAAACTTAAGGGATTTACTTTACTATCCTGGACCTCAGTTTTCTGTCTATAAAATGGGAATGAGAAAAGTATATCATGTTGTTATGTTATGTCATTCTTTTTCTAAAGACGAACAAAGATAATCTGTGTACTTAACTGAATGCCTAAAACTCATGCTCAATCAAGTTGACTATTCATATTGTTAATAATATTACTGTTATGGTTCAAAATAAATATTGTGAACCAGAAATACAAAATAAAATGACATGAAATATAAACATATCCGTATACTCACCCCAATTGTGTGTGTGTGTGTGTGTGTGTGTGTGTGTGTGTGTGTGTGTGTCTGTCTGTCTGGCAACTAACCTACAGTGTGCACTTTCCATGTCAAATATAGGTCTAGGGACTTTACACATATTAACTCATTTTATCTTCACCACAAAGTGTTGAGACGGGTACTATTGTTGTCCTGGTTTTGCATATTAAGGAAATTGGGACGCAAAACATGATCTATTCAAGGGTGTACAGCTAATAAATTATGGAGCCAAAATATAGACTGAGATAGGCTAAACTCAGAAACTGCCACCACTGTGCATTTACTGCTTCTATGGTCATAGTATCCTATACAAATATACTCAGGTAGAGGACTTATTCACCAAAAGAAATGCATATTCTGAAGGAGAAATATATACACACGCACAACATATATAAAATACCACATTTTGCATTCAGAGGTGGTCAGTGTGCAAACAGTTTTAAATACTTACTGTGCATCTAGCATTGTGCCAGACGTTACTGGACTACAAAAGCTTTATAATTATTTGTTAATTCCACTAGACAGCTGTTTCCAATCTATTTTCTTCCATTTTGCACCCTATCAGCAAAAATTTTGAGCATACACATCCAGTATATGTATTTTATTGTTAACAAACTTTATGCAGAGACGACTAGCATATTCTATCATTATAAAGCATAAATGAAAAGACATTTTTAAGTAATGCTAAACATAAAAATAATTTTTGTTAAAAATTTGTATTAAAATACAAAAGCCTATTAACTGCAAAAAATATTGATAATATATAGTTTTTGGAAACAATAAGCTTCATTTTATTGTAATCATTGCTTAACCCTTTGTGATAATGTGATCTGATGGTCTGGTTTTTAAGCCCAACTTATTTAGAATCTGGTTTTATGGCAAATACAACAGAAAGGGATGTAATACAAAAATTCAAAGATCCAAATAATAGTTCATCATTGATTGTTAACTAAATTCTATTTCTGATTTTTCTGTATTATCTACCAAATGTGCCAAAGTTTCATTGAAATTTGGCTAGCAAATTTCCTTCTAGTGGGAATTTATTATTCTTTTAAGAAATGAGTTCAAAATCCCTGAAACTCTTTATTTGGACACTTTTTTTTTAACAGTTTAGATTTTTCTAAGTATTTTAAGTGTTCACATGTAAGAGATTTTGACATACGGGCACATTTCCATTGTTTTGGACATCAAAAATCACATATAATAGAACAATTTCTAAATATCTCTCTTTAAAATGCCTTTACCGTGGCACAAATTTTCTTTTTAAAAATCACTACTTAACTCTTCTAAAAATACATACTTGAAGAGACACATTTAAGGTGTTTTGTTTGTTTTTAATCTGTTAGCTTCCAATTGACATCCTTTAGTCATAAAAAAATAGATTTGGAACACTTAAATATGAACAGATCTTTTAAGAGATTCTGTAAGAGCTTCGCTACGTACTAATTGATTCTTTGCGGGACATTAGAATTTCATGGTCTCTTCTGGTTTCATGTATTGCAAAGATTCTACCATATTCTAAAAGACTCGTATTTCTGAAACTACATGGGTATATCTGGTATACTTCTTCAACTTCCTTATGGAAAATTCTTGCCTAGGAATTATTTAGTGAATAAATTTTGTTTGTGAGGTATTTCTGGCCCCAGACTCTATATTTGAGTTAAAGAAGCCATTTCCTCAGTGGTTATACGTCCACAACTTTTCCATAAATCATTCTTCAAAAAAAAAATTTTTTTTTAATGTTTATTTTTGAGACAGAGAGAGAGCATGAGCAGGGGAGGGGCAGAGAGAGAGAGAGAGAGACACATAGAATCTGGAGCAGGCTCCAGGCTCTGAGCTGTCAGCACAGAGCCCGACGCGGGGCTCGAACTCATGGACTGTGAGATCATAACCTGAGCTGAAGTCGGATGCTCAACCGACTGAGCCATCCAGGCACCCCCATAAGTCATTCTTTATTAAAGATCATTTCCGTTGTGAGTAGCTCCTCTCCCATACATTTTACCTTTAATGCCCTCTTAAAAAGAGAAGTTCTTGGGGTGCCTGTGTGGTTCAGTTGGTTGAGCGTCCAACTTCGGCTTACGTCATGATCTCACAGTCCGTAAGTTCGACCCCCGCGATGGGCTCTGTGCTGACAGCTCAGAGCCTGGAGCCTGCTTTGGATTCTGTGTCTCCCTTCCTCTCTGCCCCTCCCCTGTTCATGGTCTGTCTGTCTGTCTGTCTGTCTCTCTCTCTGTCTCTGTCAAAAATAAATAAGCATTCAAAAAAAAAGAAGTTCTTTGTGTATTTGATTATTGAAACAGAATCTGTGAAGTACTGTGAGCTGAAACACATTAGAAATAGCTGCTCTCTTTTCTCATCCGACTAAATAGCAAACTTCCAACACTACATGATTTGGTCTCATACTTGTTTCTTCAAATCTCCAGCAGTGTGTTGTGTCCCCATGTCTATCAGTGAAATTTGCTGACATGGGAGTGCATTTTAGTTTGTTACCTTCTTAGTGTTTGTGTACTATTTCAGCCTTCTCCCCAAGAGTGGCTTTTGCTATAAAATATGAAACCTTAAATAGGGCGCCTGGGTGGTTCAGTCAGTTAAGTGTCTTGACTCTTGATTTCAGGTCAGGTCATGATCTCACAGTTCATAGGTTTGAGCCCCACATCGGGCTCTGTGCTGACAGCACAGAGCCTGCTTGGGATTCTCTCTTTCTCTTTCTCTTTGCACCGCCCCCCCACACTCTCTTTCTCTCTCAAAATAAATAAATAAATATTTTTAAAAAGCTTCTAAGTATTTACCATTATATTTAGTGACATGTTTAAAAACTTTTTTTTAATCTTCACTTATTTTTGAGAGAGAGTGACAGAGTGTGAGCAGGGGAGGGGCAGAGAGAGAGGGAGACACAGAATCTGAAGTAGGTTCCAGACTCCAAGCTGTCAGCACAGAGCCGGATGGGGGGCTTGAACTTACAAACCATGAGATCATGACCTGAGCTGAAGTCAGATGCTTAGCCAACTGAGCCACCCAAAAGCCCCAGATTTAGTAAAATGTTTAAAAGTACTAGATTATGACATTATTTTAATTTTTTTATTTTTATTTAATTTATTTTTAAATTTACATCCAAGTTAGTTAGCATATAGTGCAACAATGATTTCAGGAGTAGATTCCTTAATGCCCCTTATCCATTTAGCCCATCCCCCCTCCAGTAACCCACTGTTTGTTCTCCATATTTAAGAGCCTCTTATGTTTTTGTCCCCCTCCCTGTTTTTGTATTATTTTTGCTTCCCTTTCCTTATGTTCATCTATTTTGTATCTTAAAGTCCTCATATGAGTGAAGTCATATGATATTTGTATTATGATATGATTTTAAATGTCACTGAAAAACTTAAGAGGTTTGCTCTCATGTTTTGGATGGTTAATTTTTAAAATCAGTTCATTGAAGTTTAATTTATACAAAGTAAAATTCACCCTTCAGAGATGGTTCAAATTCTATGAATTTGACAAATGTATAAGTTC